AGATAGATAGATAGATAGATAGATAGATAGATAGATAGATAGATAGAAGGAGCAATCTAGGTCTACCTGGTTTTTAAGCCTAACTCTTCTTTAAGTTTCTTGTTTTGTTTTAAAATCATTTAAAGACAGTTATAAAGTGTGTCAAACTATTGAATATATAATTATCCCTGGCACCCCACAAGAAGAAATGGCTGTGCTTTCTCATCGTCATGATATCCAACCTTCAGATGATGTAATATTCCTAGCAACTTAAGTATGAAGTTGACATCCATTTTCCCACTGTTTACGATGGAGACCTTCCTCATGCAAACCTGAGTTCTTTGCCCACGGATAGCATAGTGAACCAAGGCAGAGCCAAGTCTACCTGTCTCTCCACCTTAGACGTGGCAGAGTCACACAATACAGCTACTGTCTAGAGTGTTCCTTAAGCTTATTGATAAAAACAAAAGAAGATGGTCAAAAGTATCAGTGTAAAGTTTAAGCTCTTTCCAGGTATGTAATTCTTTTTGTCCCTGTGGACTATTTTCTAGAGGCAGTATCAACGCTATTTCTATGTGGATGGTAATGACCTTAATATTCGAAACAAAGCGTGGAGATCAGTCGAATATTCTGTTGTAGTGTGTACCCAAACATTCAATACCAGGATGTTTCCATCAGCCATAGCAACCGTAGCGGTTTTCCACCCATGACAAGCTTCAAATTATCTCCCATTTTGTAATAAGACCTTAGTTTTAGAAAGTTCATGGCTACCTCAAACAATAAACTGCATTTTGCAGGCCGTCTTAGAAGTAAGTATGTGCATGTGAACCAAAGTGCCAGACCAGTCAAGTCCTTGGAGGAATGACTTCACCTTCCTGACTTTTCTTTCTCAACAGCTGGAGACTGGCTACAGATGAGTGATACAGAGGCTGTGTGGGGGGTGAGCACTACTCTACAGATGGGAGGAGATGGGAAAAGCAAGGCTGTCAGAGGCAGTGCCCTGGGCTTGAGTTTGCAAGGCAGCTAGACCATGTCTAGTCTGCACAACCTGCTTCTATATTAAGAATCACACTCACATTCTAACACAACAGATTTTTCTGGGTGATCCAGAGGCAACTGTGTGATTTAGAAAAATGATGTGTTTTGAGCAGGAAAGGACCTTCGAAGTTCTGCTCCACCTCCTCACTTTACTGACGTGAAGACTGAAGCTAGAAGAGTAGAGACATTTCTTGACCTCCTACAGCTAGCTGGCAGTAGAGCGGATGGAGGCAGACATCCTTCCCCTTTCTGGCTTAATCAGCAGAACTCCCTAGAAGTTACTGTGGATCCCCTTCTGAAAGCCTGAACAACTTACTGCTTGGGAGCCAACGGCTCCTTCGTCTAAGATTGCAACAAATAGCTACTGCCCAACACGCTCCAACATGGCTGCTTAACCTTCCACCATGGAAAGGAAACAAGACCCAGCAAGGCCCACGCCCCATCCCAATGTGCCCCTGCTGGGAATTGATGAGGAAGAAGGACTCATGCTGTACTCCTTGCCTGATTATCCTTAGCCGTTAACGTTTCCGTTTTCCTCAGTGAAACCGATTCCTCTCACTATGACCAACAATTGTGAAATGTCTGGGGTACAGAAGCATGATAGTTGGAAATTCAGAAGACAGCTACTTTTTAGATCTCGATTCTATAATATTACAAGGAACAATTATTACCTACATAAAATTTTCTATAAAAACGTGCAATGGGAGTGACTCCAACTGTCAAGGAAACAGCAAGGAAAAACATAAATCATATAATTATCTATATGGGCCACAGATTTTTCTGGAGCATGGAAGACACTAGCGTAGTACTGATTAAGACAAGTTGCCAAAGGCATCATAAAAAAGTGAACAATACATTATAGACATCAATACACAAGGTCCTTGAGCTTTATCCTGCTATTTATTCTCCCTCTATCCTTAGATAACCCACAGACCCTGCTCGTACTTATGTGTGAATCCATGTGCTAATATTTGAATTTCACAAAATTCCATTTTTACAGACCAGTACAGCACATTTCTTACCATCCTCGTTTTCATCGAACACTGGTGCTTTGCTTGAAGTGTTGGCTCCCATAGTCAAGTCTGCCCTGACCTGGACACTCTAGTTACAGCGTGCTGAAAGGAACACTCATCTTTGTTCAGTATAGGTCCGAGAAAGGTAGCTGGATGTCTACACAGAAAAGAAAGAAAGAAACGAAAATAATGGTGTCCTTATAATAGAATATGTGATAGATACCCTGAATGCAGACTGTAACAAAAACACTAACTTATATTGCTGTAGCAGTAATTTTTGTCCTTAAAGGTTATAATAGAAATGACAGTGCACGGCACAGCAGGAGAAGCCACAGTGCACAATGCCATCAGAAGCCAATCTGTACTGATAAAGTAGGGGAAAAGCAAAATATTTCCTCAGATATTAAGAAAAATTTAAGGTGAGGTCACTTAACTGACTTAAAGATATAAATAATTTTAAGAAACCTCTATATTTAAAAGAAAACAGAAACTTTACATCTCCATTTTTGCTGTGTGACAAAGAACAATCTTAAAATCTTCATCTTTAAGCATGAAGTTGCCTTATTTTTTTTCCCCTCACCCTGGAAGGCACCACACTGGATTGGATTTACTAGCAAGTAGACGGCTTTCTTCTCCTAAACTTGGAGCTGATTATGCCCTTTACCCAAAAGGAGAGTACACATACATTTCACTCTTTGTAAGTATACGGCATGTAGGTAAACATCATATGTTAATATTATGTGGATCCTATGTTTTATCTTATGAATCCATACCTTATGTGACATTTATAAATTTGGTTTGTTTGGGGGCTTATTCCCCCATTTAGCCGAGATTGACCTTCAACTTCCATTTACCAAGCTCAGCCTCAATAGCTTGGAGAGTATGGGTGCTCACCACTGTCCCTGGTTCTTAGACAGTTCTCTGTGTACTGAGTACACAATGTAGATACATATTTACCACAATGCATAAGTTACTTTTAGAGCACACAGGCTCAGCAATTGCTGATCACCCTAAAGCTGGTCAAATTATATATCTGAGAGATAAAAGTGCTTTTAAAATGTACATGTACTCATTGATCCCTTTGAAAACAGAAGCACAAAGACTCTCACCATCCTGGAGACTATTAAGCAGAGGCAATGCTTGGCTTCCAATCCTTGAAATTGCATGTCATGGCCTTGAAACAGTTACTTAGCCTCTGGCCACTAAAATGGGGACATAACAGTGCCTCCCTCAGGAGTCACAAGCTCAAATGCCTTTAAGTGCCAGGAAGCTCACACAAAAGACTGAACCAAACCAGGTACAGGACATTCAGGCATTATGAGGACAATGGTGGCACTGGCTTAATCTAAAAAAAATGCACTGTAATCAGATGAAGAGATCTTTGCTGTGTGGAAACATTGCCCAGGGATCTTCAGAACTACTTAAACAGGGGGAAGAGCCAGATTTTATAAAGGAACATTTTAAAATTCAGCTCAGCTATCCAGCTCAAAAAAAAAATCATGCTTGGAACAAATATGACTAATGGATGGAGACAGTAAAATGAAGAGAAGTGCAGTAATTAACAAAGTACCTGGCATATACAGTATGGAAAGAACAAATGTCTATTTCCACTATCTTGATAGGTACAACATTTCCTTAGCATTTTTTTTTCAGTTGTTGACACCTGTTGACCTTTTGTTTTGTCTTGTTACTTTTTCTCATTGGGCTTTTTACAAATGAAGGAAATACAGATTTAGATGCAGAATTAGAGAAAGTATGAATAAGTTATTTAGAAAAAAAAACCACTTGGGATCCCCTAGGTATAGAAGAAAAGCTCATTTTATCATTAGGAAAATGTAAGTCAAGTCTTCATTTAGAAGGAAGATCCATTAATGGATTGCTATTTTTCCAACTACATGCCAACTGCTGGCAAAATGCCTTATGGTCTTTAAAAAAGAATCATTAAATGTAGAGCAAAGAAAGAGTGAACAGTTAGGAAGTGAGCAATTAAGTGGGTTAAGGTTGGGGAGAGGGTTGTGGCAGGTGGTAACTGGTGGGTGAAACATGCTCATTGGGATTGCTGAAGCCTAGGAAGACAGAGAGAACTATTGTCTGTGTAAGTTAAAAAAATCAAAAAGCTTTCAAACAAGGGAACAAATTAAGAAAAAGCATGTAGTATGCTCATTGTAGCTGACGGAGGGTTAAGAAGCAGAATGGTGTATTCCTTTGTGCTGTGTTATTGCATGGAGTTCAGAAAAAAAGAAAAGAAAAGAAAAGCAATGTATCTCCTGCCAACAACATTAGAACAAGAAAATCGGCCCTTTTCATTTTAAGGAACACTGATTTTTAACACTGCAGAGGTTGGGCCATATTCCCTTATCTGGTAGAAGTCCGAATGCTTGTTTTCACACCACACTCCAGCTCTACCACTTTTGTATTTTTCTTCACACCTTATGCTTTTCTCAAGTAGCCCATCCTTTTGCTACATAAGAGATGCCAAGCATTGACCTTGCACATTGTCAAATCGGGGGGGGGGGGGGGGGGGGGGTTTTTGTTATTTTCACATTTTTTTCTTTTGTTTGTTTGTTTTGTTTTGCTTTGTTTTGTTTTTACATTCCAAACTTCCGTTCTGGTGTGTCATCTTGTCCACCACACAGCCAGCAGTTTCACCGGGAGAAAAGTACACGTAAAAGAGAACATTTGCCGTGGATGTTTCGGAGGGCACAGGCAAATGGAACTAGCTGGTTGCTTCCTATCTCCCCCCCTCCAATGGTAGCTTAATATCTTAACATGATCCAACTTAGAATTCTTCTCAACTTTTTCTTCCCCCATGTACATAACCAAATTAGATAAGTTTCTCTCATAACTAGAAAGAAATAAGCCTTTCTCTGGCAAAAAAAAATAATAATAATAATAATAATAATAATAAATTAAAAAAAATGGTGACTCATTCTTTCCATTCTGTTGAATAGAGAACAGGAGAACTCTAAGACTCTTTTCCATAAAACTCTACCCTTCCTGACCTCCCACGTCAGAGGCATCAAGTGAAGCAGCCATACACAGAAAGGTAACTCTAAACATAAGAGGAAGAAGATAATTTATCTTGCAGGAATGGACAGGAGTTCTACTCTACTTTGACCCCATAATTACCGGATTATTAAATACGACCCAATTTTCTGACAACAGCATTTCGAGTGCGGCTTGTGACTCCTAGAATTGGAGAGCACTAGGGGTAATGCAAGAATGTCACAAACATCTGAAGCACCGCGTAGATTTCATTATCACAATATGTGCAGTGATAATTATTTTTCTTTGCATTTGGGGAAAAAAAAGTTAAATTGAAAATATTTAGACACACTAAAAAGAACAAAAGTGGGAAACATCCAAGTTAGCAACATTTGCTGTTAAGAATTGTTTGTAATTTTCAACTTTGTTTCATCATTTTTAGGTACTGAAAGTTACTGGTAAATAAACATTTCCACCTTAGCCTTCAAGCCAAATAGACTGCCTTTTCCCACCGCCCAAAGAGAGCTCATGGACCTGCACACTTTTAAAACGGAGGCATGCTTTAAAATAAGCTGTCCAGACATGAAGGACGTGCACCCAGGGTCTGGCTGTGCTCATTAGCCATCCTATTTCTGAGATCTAAGTATGAGCGTGCACATCTCTACAACTCTCATCTATGATTTTCAAGTGCCGCCTAGCAATCCACAGCGTGAGCACAGCGCGCTTTACTTTTCTGTGTGGAAACGTTCAAACTCCTCATCTTAGGGTAGGGCAGGGGACCTTGTGAAGATGAAGACAAACAGGGAACGCAATGCTAGCTTACTCTGAAACCAGATGAAAAAAGCTGGTGGGAAACCTTCCCCCTCGGCCCTTTCAACCCAGAGAATATTTTTTGAAGTCTTTGGGACCCGGGTGTTGCGAGATTGGAGGAGTAAGTGGAGGCAATAGCTAGGGTGGCTCCTGTCCTCGCTCTGGTTGTGCGAGTGCCCTGGCTGACCCCTCTGTGTTTTTTCTCATCCCCATCCTATTGGACTTCACAGCTTCCCTCCAGTGCCCTTCTCCACATGGGGCCATGTCCTCTGTACAATCCCGTGTTCCCAACCAGTCTGCATCCTTCCCTCCAGCCTTTCCACTCACCTCAGAATGATGCTTCTATTCGAGGAGCAGGGGCTGACAGCGCTCCGCAGGCCAGGAGCGATGGAGACGGAAGACACCTGCCCAGCAGGACGCGGCTGAGGGAATGGCCCGACCCGGCTGCTCGCGCTGAGCTCAGGCACCTGAGGCTGCAGAGTTGGGACCCAGCGCAGCCGCGCAGCTTCTCGGCAAGGGGCGGGTCACGGACTAGGAGGGGAGCGCCGAGCCGCCCGCCAGGGGCGTCCCCAGACGGCGCCCTCACCCGGAGCGGACTGCCAGCCCCTGGACAGGCGCCAGTCGCCTGGGAACTGCGCGACACTGGCGGGGGGTGGGGGTGGGGGGGCGGACGAGCGCCCTAGGAGGGCAAGCTGGAAAGCAGGAGGGCGTGGCTGGGAGTCCAGAGCCGGACTCCATCTGCAGCAGCCTCCAGCTGAACCCAACTTCACGAACCCAGGCGCTGAAAGCTTCCCCGAAGTGATCCTAGGAGGAGGCTCTCCTTACCTCGACCCCTGGCAACCTGGGGGGGGGGGGGGGGGGGGCTTTGGGGTGGTGGATGTGACAGTGGCAGATACCAGATTCGGAGAAGTAAGGACGGCGTGTGGATTGGCCCATTCCAATGTTGAGGGGATTGAGGCATAACTCAGGGAACACTTGCCCACTGGAGGAGAGCCATCCATCCACTGGGAGAGCTCCTTCTCTGTACACTCACCTGATGATGGACGCCCCTCCAAGTGCAAAGGAAGACAAAGGAGAGCGCTATCAGGTTGTTTTACATGGCGCTGCCTCTACTTCCCTTGGCAATCCCAGTGAAAGTAGCTTACTGTTTGCCTCCAAGGCCAGGGCCACGCTCCTCCAACCAAGGGAGGAATGGTGCAGCGGTTACCTCAGAAATGACCAGTGTGACGGCAGAGCAGCTGTCAGGCAGGGACACACGGACCGTAGGGGGTCTGGTTTGAAAGAGGCCACAAATTCTGTCCATCTTCGATATCCCCGCCATACAGGAATCCCAGCTAAGTGCTCAGATCGGTGAAGAGAGAACTGAAACTCCCACTATTTCTAAACATTTGCAAGTTTACAATGTTTTAACTGTTAGTCAAACAGGATGCTTGACATTCAGTCTGGGACTGAAATGTCCTTTTCAGCGCGCTACCTGCGAATCTAGCTAGCTGTGGTTCCGCGAGGGCGGCAACACAGAACCATACTGAGCTTCTCCGGGTGGTGCCTGGTTCTGTAAAATATCCACTAAAATTGTTGAAGCCTCACCCGTACATTAGTGGAATGATTCGGGAGGCAGCTCTGCGCTCCTCGAGCCTTCCGTGTTCTTTCTCTCAGTTAAACATGAGCTGTGTTCTTGTCAAGCATTCTAACACTCTCAGACGCCTTTATCAGACCCACATATCCATTTCACCATGCGCGTCCAAAAGGAAAGCTTAAAGCTGAGAGTTTATAGCTAAACCGCGGCTCATGGGGGGGAGGAGCACTTGCTTCTCTGCGGTTTTACTTTCTACATCTTTGTGTTGCTATCTCCTTATGAAATGCGTGTTTGGACAGGAATTGGACATGAAAAATTAACGTTTAGTGTGGCTTGGCATACCTTGCACATGGGGACTAAAAGCAACCGGGGGTGCGGGGGAAGTAAATTTTTAAGGAATTTATTATGGTCAAGGGTTTTATTTTTATTTTTTTAAAGCAAAGTGCAGGCACCTGTCAATAATATTATTTTGTGCAGCCTCTATTAGTCAAGAAAACACTTGGTTATCAAGGAATTTGTCATGTGCAAATTAGCCTGTATTTATATCATCGATACCCCCATGGTCTTCCAAGACATAATGAGTTCTATTTTTATCATTAAATAAAGTAAGACAGCAAGAAAGTGGACTGAGACTAAAGTCCCTCGAAACTTCTCTGATTGACACATAGAGGATCAGAAAGACTCTCAGGATAATGGCGGAACTGCCATCTCTGAGATGTCCGCTAAGTCCCTTGAGGCCCCTGCTTCAGTTTCCCAGGGTCAGTGAAGATGTAGGTAGTCAGGGAGGGCTGAATGAGAACCATAATCGTGAACACGGACAGCAGAGAGCACACGCAAAGCAGCAACCGTGAAAGCTACCGTCATGGCCAGAGAGGAGGCTCGGTGGTGAAGAGAGCTTGTTTCTCTCCCAGGGGACCCAGATTCAGTTCCCAGCACCCACAAAATGACTTACAACTGTCTACTGCTCCAGTCTCTGGGGATTCTGACACCCTCTTCAGACTTCCAAGGACATGAAACCCGCATGTGGGGGTCACATAAATACATGAAGGAAAACACACACACAAAATAAAAAGATTACCATTTCAACAAACAGGCCGCTGGGCTTTGTATACCCATCCCTCTCCGACCTGCTCTGTAATTCATTCCTCTGCAGTTTCAGCCACTTTTGCTTAAAGCAGAGCTGCAATTCAGGCAAGTCCATGTACTTCTCATGAACTTGCTCTAACAGAGGCTTAATTTTTTAAAGTTCTACTGTTCATGACAGATGAGTCATTAAATGAAAACGTTAATACAAGGCACGGAATACCTTCATATAAGTTATCGGTCTCCAAAGCCTCACAGTTTATTACAGCTGCCCCTGGTTACTCACCATAACTGCTTGGTAAGAGATTATCACTGCAGACATAGAGAAATCAATCTCAAACCGGCAGGAGGACGTTCTCTCCGTGTTGGCTAGCTTTTATAGTGCTGGCAAGTGCTATGCAAGATTCTGGGGGAGAAAAAATATCAACGGTCTTACCCAGCACAGGACTCTGCATGCTACAATAGCCACCTGCCCCACTGGGGCAGTAGTGTCGCAAGCGTTATGGGGGTAATGACTTTCTGGTTGGCTTGAGGTCTGCCCACAGGAAGGAACTCTAAACCCGTGTAATCCAAAAGTCCATGGCTTGGAAGGTCACAGGCCCTGACGTAGAACTAACTATTGTCATTTTGCTCAGTAGTCATGTTATCAAATCGCTTCCAAATATCAATGTTTCTACAAACGGACTTGGTCAGAGAAGCTTCTTTTTCTCAGTAGACAACAGTCAACGTAGGAAGGCATAACTGATCAGAGTGCTGAGAACAGGCCATTGGGAGCCCTATTATTCCCACTCCCCCCCACACACTTCCAAGACTCAGAGGAAAAAGTGCAAATAATGTAAGAGCTGGAGAACGGGAAAGAGCTGTGAAAAGCTTTCTTCAGTGGACGACATGGCATTGAACTTGTGAACTCACAGCAACTGTGTTTACTCGCACAAGACCCACACAGCATCACGCCAGACAAAATACCAGCTTTAGCAGGGTCGAGGACCTCTACACCTCACCTCATACTGAGGATGTGGAGAGTAGCAAGAGGAAGGAGAATCTTTCCTTTTGAGAAAGTAAATGGTGGGGCTCTCATGTCCCACCAGACTTTCACATGTGCTCAGCACATGCACAGTAATAACTGGACTGAGCTGGTTGTCATTTGGAAAAGGTGTGTCAGAGGGAGATATGATCATATTTTACTGTATACATGTATAGTTTCAAAAGTAACAGAAAATCTTTGTTATGACTGTATCTTGTCTGTCAAGAACAGAGTTGTTTCAACAAAGTAATTGTGCTATATTCTCTTCTTTATTTAGTTGTTCATAGTCCCTGCTGTTCCTAGTTCTTGCCTGTGTGCCTGCTGTACACATTTCTATAGGGAAATAGGGGCCATAGCCAAGGTACTCGTCCTACTAGGCTCTGTGCATGTGTCAATCTCTGGAGCCCCCTAGTGGAGAGGATGATGAAGTACTCAGTGAAGCAGTGAGGCATGGATTTTAAAGAAAAATCACTTGTTGACACCTCAAGTTTTGAGACCATGGACTTCAACCAGGTACCTTTTGTCTTGAAATCGTCCGATGACATTGCCGTTAAAAAATAAAATAACATTCTTTACCTTAGTTACTGTTGTGAAGACAGTGTAATCAAGGGAACTCTTTAAAAAAAAAAGAAAGCCTTTAGTTGGAGCCTTGCTAACAGTTTCAGGCTAGTCTGTTGTCATCATGGTGGAGGGCATGTTGGCACACGTGGCGGGCATGGTAATGGAGAAGTAGTTGAGAGCAACATCTCCATCCGCAGACAGGAAGAGAGCGAGCCACCGGGCCTGGTGTGGCCTTCTGAAACCTCCAAGCCCTCTCCCGGGGACATAGCTCCTCCCACACAGCCACACCTCCCAGTCCTTTTCAGACAGCTTACCAACCCCAACCCGGTGCTCAGCATGCAAACACACGTGTGTTTGGGGACCGGTCTCATTCAAACTGCCACGTTACCCTACGCAGACCTTGTCTTAAGATGGCATGTCCCTTGCCATCTGTTCAATGAACTCCTTGTGAGGCAAGGTTTCTCTACAGCCAAACTGCCTATCTGGAGACTGAGCTGTGTGTGTCTCTACCATGGAACATTTAGATAGCTCTTTCAGACCTGCTTCTGGATTTCATCCCATTCAGCTGTCACATCAGTTTCTCGGCTCCCATTGACTGGGATGCCATCCCTTAACTGCCATTTTTAAAAAGTCTACCTTGGTCCTTCCTCCGTTTTCCAAAATATTTCTGGATTTCTCCTGCCCTTACTTACCTCAAGCTGTGTTAACTACTTTGTCGTGGTGACTGCTTGGCTTCATTTCCCCGATTGGATACAAAGCTATAGAGACAAGAATGACCCCTGCCTTGTCTGTTCCTGTGTGTGCAGCATTGAATGTGGTAGTTGGCCTGCAGGAGACATTCCATAAAATAAATGTTTGCACTGAAAGAAAATACAAGAAAACGGTACTGTTCCTCCAAGCAGTAACCGAGTGAAGAGAGGAGACCTTTGTAAGAAAATGTGTGAAGGGAGCAAAGACTAGCAGACTCTGCCGCTCAACCTGAGGGTTTGGGCGGGGGGGTGGGGGGGTGGGGAGGGTGAGTGAAGTAGCCTCTCAGTCTGGAGAACGGAGAAGTAAGGGTGTAATGTTTGGGGAAAATAATAAAAAAGTTTAGTGTCATTGAAGTAACTGAGTTAGGTGTGCAAAGAGGATGAAAGAAACACCTTGAGGGAAGAAAGATGGTGTGAAAAACACTGCATTTTTAAGCAGGGCGTCAGTGGGAAGCCTCCAGATGTGCTAGGAGGAAAACAGCCACTTGCAGCTCTGTTTCAGCAAGCTCCGGCTGCCCTCTTTGAGTAACAGGAAGCTTTATTTTTCTTGTTTTGATATGCAAATTATATCCAGCTGTTAGGAAGGTATGTTCTCACAACAGCATTCTAGTTCTCCACAGTT